TGGCAAAAAAAGACTTTTGAAATTTGTGAGTTTTAGTTTTTTAAAAATCTGCAGAGTTTATCTTGTTTATGTAATAAAATGTAGAAAAGGTTTGTTTTTAACCTGTAAAGTAAAAATTGTGATAAAAATTGATATTGTAAATGTTAAAAACCTAAGTGTAGTCTGATTTCTGCTGTATGTGCAGTGTCCATGCTGAAGTGAGGTATGGTTTACAAAAAATTTATGTGAGTTTTTTGGTTTTATTTGTGTCTTGTTAAATATTTTTATATATATTTAGTTAGCTGAAGAGGGGCTGATGCCCGAAACGTTGATGTATGGAAAAAACGTTCTAACTAAATAAAAGATTCAACTAGCCCAGTGTTGAGAAAAACGTCACTTCATTGTGCCAGTACACAACAGGAAAAAAAAAAATAATAATATCAAAGAACAATAATAGAAAATATAATCGATTTATATCCATAGCATAACTAGTGAAAATACAATAATATTTTTTTATAATTAATATTTTCCGTTTTCACTTAGTATATTATTTACTTTATAAGAATCTAATAACTCTGAAAAATACATAAGGTCAGTTAAATATAATTTCAAATTTATTTTTAGTAGTTTATTTTTTATTAAATTAACTTTTTATATTTTAAAACTTTGCAAGATGTTTTTTAAACAGTTTTAATTTAAACATTAATAAGTGCATTTGTTGAGTTTCAATAAATCTGACATTTAGTTGTTTGGATTAAAATGAATAAATTGAGCTTAATGCTTGCTTATGTATTAATATTTTATTTTCAGATAATCAGAGATCCTGAAACAGGAAATTCAAAAAATTATGCATTCATCAATTTTGCTAGTTTTGAAGCATCAGATGCTGCTATACAAGCTATGAATAGACAGTATCTTTGTAACAAACCTATTAGTATATCATACGCATTTAAAGAAGATTCAAAAGGCGATAGACATGGTTCAGCAGCAGGTAATTTAATTACTAAGAATTAAAAATTAATAAAATAAAATGTGAAAAGTAATATGAAATAAAATCTAGTCTTTTAACTTATCCAAATGATCACTAATGTCATATAAGAAAATAAAGTGCTCAAAAGCTGACAGAAAATGAAAAATTAAATGATGTCTCTCATTATATAAAAATTCACAAAGCATTATGAATTTTGCTATTAAATATTGAAATGAGACTTTTTTGTTTCAGAACGTCTTCTAGCTGCTCAGAATCCACTTTCTCATGCAGATAGACCTCATCAATTGTTTGCCGATGCACCTCCACCACCGTGTGCACCAGTGGTAGCACCAATGGCTGCACCACCACCGCCGCCACCACCAATGGTTGGACTTCCTCCTCCGCCAATGACAGTGGTTACATCTGGTAAATTAAGTACATAATCATTAATTCAAAAAAATTCACATGTAGTAAACTCAATATCTTTAAAAGTGTTTTCTAGATATCAAAATAACCATAAATGATTCCATAACTTCTCTTTTAAAATAGGAATACAGTCGACCCTCCCATAACACTGTTGACGATTCCATTTTATATGAATTTCATGTTGTACGAGTCACTTAGATTTTACAAATCCATGAGCTGTTCATAGCCTGGCACACGTATTTGTAAAATCTAAGTGACTCGTACAACATGGAATTCATATAAAACGAAATTATCAACAGTGTTATAGGTGGGGTCGACTGTAGTTATATTTAATTAATAAAAAATATTAGCAGTTATATATAAAAATCTATAGCAATATAATAAAGACTAGTTTCCATGTTAAACAACTTAGAATATTATCATGAATCATATGTTGCTGCCCACCAGTGACTGAGTGGACAAAACTACTGAACATGTGGGTTTGTGCCTTGTTAACAGACTGACCACACATTTTCCAGATTATCTTGTAACAATCTAAATAGGAGCTGTTTTTCCATAGAAAGTTGTCCCCAGGAGGCATCCCCCTCAACAGATCACCTGTGTGCCATGTTGCCACATACATATATATAAAAAACAAACAAGCATGTTGCTGTGCCAGAAAAATTGCTGTGTAATTTTCATTATATTACAATAGATATGTTTTACTATAGGAAAACTTAATCCACTAAACTATTATATTATGTTTCGCTATAAATTGGTTTAATGAATTAATGGATTTTTTGCATTTTAAGAATCTGCAGTTTTGCATAATATAATGAAAAATGAATCCAAGCTTTTACTTAGTGTAATAGAAAAATGAACAGACAAATACTTTATATTGTTTATTTACAAGATTTAACTGTGCTTATTATTGGATATAAGTTCTCAAGTTGTTATTGCATTCTCTTCTGACATTGGTTAATAAATCAAACTTAAAAAATAATTGTAATAGGAGTCTATATAATACCACACATGTAATGTGTATAGTGTAATTAGAAACTAACTTATTTGTTAATCTTTGTGTTAATATGACAGAAACATGCTATCAGACAGCACATTCAAAGCCATCAAAAATTATACTTGGTGATATTACATTCTGTTTGGAATTGATTTTATTTTTATTTATAATTTTCACGTCTGTCTATTTATTATTAATTCACATTATTATAAATGAAGGTTAGAGTGAATCCCTAATTGAGTAGCTCTGTAGAAAATTAGTTTCACTTCTGCTTTTTGGAGCTAATGGCACAAACCTGAGTTATAGTTAAACATGAATAAACTCATGAGTCATTTATATAGTGTATGTGTTTATTGCTCATTTTAGTATTAAATTTAATATTTAATTATTATTTCACATTAATAGCAAATGCAATTGATTGTTTGGACTCCAAAATATTTTTAATATAATAGGATATCTCATATAAAACTGGCCCCATTCACTCATTGAATGAATAAAACTGGGCTGACAGACAACAAAGTATTGGTAGTGCAAACTTACATAACATTTTGTGAATAAAACTAACAAGGGAAAGACACTGTCATGGTGTCATATTTCAATGAGCATTAACATTGTGAATGTATGCCAAAAGTAATTGATTCATGTTTTCAGCTTTTCATCTAGTGGACCCTAGTTTCCAAAATATTGTTTAAAATTGGGACTTTGTAGTTATATTAGCATACAAACTATGTGAGAGATAAAATGTGTCATTTGTGGAAACATAGTAAAGCTTGTGGCTTCTACTCTACTTTTATTTATATACATTTTTTGTACATTACATGGATGTACTGTACAGTATGTTGGAAGATGAAGCATGCAATGACATAACGTTGTAAATGAAAAAAAAAAGAAAAAATCAAACTTCTCAGGAGAGGTGAATAAAACTTTTTCTAGTGAATGAATTTATTTCAATTTTACAATAAAATGGTAAAATCTCACTAGGTTACAAATTTTCTGGAATATCAAAATTATGTAAATGTATGCTGTAATGTTTTAAGTGCCAAAAGTCACATAACTTGCACTTTGGCACATTAAACGTATGGCTTCATATAAATTCAACTTCAAAATACAGCCACTTACCGCACCACTGTTGCCACGATATGTTTTGCAGCAGAAAACACTGCATTTAGAATTCAATTCTTCAATAAAATGTAAATTCCATTTTTCTGTAAACACAGTGTTGTGGCATTGCATGCTTCGTATATCATTAACATTCAAAATAAATCATATTCATTGTAACAAATATTTTTTGAAAAATGAATAACTGTAAAATGCTATTATATCTATAAATATAAAAGTAAAGTTTAGTTAGGAGTAAGTTAATTATTCCTAGATAAAGCTACTGTAGAAACAATTTGAAAATATTTAAGTTAAATATATGTAATATTTTTCATTTAGGTTCAATGCAGATGCCACCACCTCCATTACATGGTGCCCTGCAACCTAGTTCTGTGGCTCCACCAATAAGACCACCTTCATCAGGACCATTACCATTTCCACCTGGACATCCTCCACCTCCACCTCCTCCTCCACCACCACCACCATCAGGTAAGTTCTGACATCATTGAAAAATATTTAAACTGGCCTTATAAGCAAATTAATAAAAATGATTAGGTGGTATACCACCTCCACCGCCAGTACCTCCACCCGTGTCGAGTTATGCAGGCATGCCTCCACCTCCACCACCACCAACCGTTCCTCCTCCTCCACCACCTCCACCCAGTACTAGTTCTTCTCAGATACCAGTACCTTCCAGTAATGAACCCGGACCTGGTGAGATGATGCAACAAAGACAGGTATCACCCGCTATGCCACCACAACCTATGGGTAAGTTTTTAAGTATTTTCTGTAGAATACTTTAACAAATATTTTTAAAACTGATAAATTGAAAAATTTTTAGGAATGCCGCCACCACCGCCCCCACCACCATTCCAGGGAGGAGGTATGCCTCCTCCGCCACCACCCGGAATGCGACCACCCCCACAAATGAGCATGAACTTTGGACCCAGACCGCCACCTTTTGGTATGTATTATGTTTACATTTTTTTTAATGTTTGTTTTATATCCAAATTTATCAATAAAAGTATTTCTAAGTAATAGAGTATAATAGTGCAATATAACATCTTTAAATAAATGTATAACAGCTTAAAAAATAAATTTAAAAAGTTTTTTTAATTTAGGGTGAAGTATTTAAATATCTGTCAGACTTGTGATACTGTTATGTAAATTTGAGAATGTTGGTTCATACAACTTCGTTCCAAAAGATTTAAAAGGTCAAATTTGGAGTCATGGAGTAAAAAAAAACATTCAGCATTTATATAGTAGATACGAAGTAAAAAAAATTGATAGTCAATTTGACAACATTTTATTTTTAGATATTTCTTTAACCCTGGCTTCTTTATTAGAAAGAACCCACCAGTGGCCAAGTGAATCTGTTCCCTGAATACTGATAGTTGTGTTGTGGGTTTGTGCCTTGCCAGGAGGAGTTTTCCAGTTTTCTCCACATCTTTAATGTCTAAATAGGGGCCTGTTTCCCTTAATTTAATTAAGACTTCTCGGAAGGTATCCCCTAGGCAGATCACCCAAGTGTTACATTGTCATAACTAATAAAGCAAAAACTTTATTAAAAAGAACATAAATGTATTATTAAAATAGAAATTATGACTAATTAGTCATATTTTTTTTTTCTTTTTGTAGTGTTTGTGTGTATATTATTAAAAATAATTTTTGTTAATTTAGGTCCGGTGCCAAATCGACCCATGTTTCCTGGCCGTGGACTTCCGCCGCCACCGCCTCGCCCCATGAGACCGCCGGGTCCTCCCCAGTATGCCTAGACCTCTGCCATAGATGCACACGACATTTTACAATACATGTCATGTATCTCATTACATTTTTATAATTTAATAGAAATAAAACTATTTTTTTTTGTGTGTTATTTGTGAAATGTTAGTTGAAATTAGAAGATGTTTTTTTTTATACATAACTTATTAAAGATTTTATTAGTTTGATGTTTGGTATTAATTGAATAGATTTATACATTAGTCCACTTAATTTCACCAAGAATCGAATGAGTTCTCGAGAATAAGCAACAAATGTATTCGCGAAAACAATGCTAATAAGGTTACACCTGCTGCCTCAGATCACTAATACAATTAGAATTTAAGACGACGGATCCAGATGACAGTTTTTTAAATTCGAATAGGATTGTTCGCTGTCATATTCGAATACCTAGCACAGGTTCTCGGAAACAAAGAGAACATTTTGCAATTAAGCAGTTACAATTCTTGCGTTCGAATATTCCCATCTGTAGTTGGAATCATTCTGGACTAAGGCCCAGTAATAAAGTTTTTCTTTACGAATATAAAAGTGATTTTATTATAAAAATGAACTGTGTGATATTTATCTGATGTCNTATACTTCAGTTGTTGTCCACCAAAGAGGAACACCAATTATTACAAATACAAAAAAAAAATACCCATATTGCATATATGGATGAAGCATCTCTAACCTAGCACAGGTTCTCGGAAACACAGAGAACATTTTGCAATTAAGCAGTTACAATTCTTGCGTTCGAATATTCCCATCTGTAGTTGGAATCATTCTGGACTAAGGCCCAGTAATAAAGTTTTTCTTTACGAATATAAAAGTGATTTTATTATAAAAATGAACTGTGTGATATTTATCTGATGTCGTTTAAAGATAAAAACCTGTTCAAAACGGAAAAAAAAAATTCGGTACAGTGCTTTTCCGGTTTACACAGGTTTTACTATGTATATTTTCGTAATTGTTAATATTTGTTTTACAATAGAAATTCAATTTAAAATTGGTTAAAATTATAAAAATTTTGGAAACAAAAATGGCATTGTCATGCCGCAATTTGAAATGTAAGAATTTAAATACTTCTATACCATGACAAATGAAATTTTAATATAAATTATAAATTCTTAACCGGTTAAGAATCTTGCTTTGTATATTTACCAGTATTTTGTTCATAATTTACTGTTAAAATTTAAATTGACGTATAACAAAATTAACTACCGGTGTTCCATGGTTTTATCTACTCTGCCCTAATGGGCTATATATAAATGCCAATGTAAAAATTGAAAATACAGTAGTTCCTGGTTAACTTGCACTTCATCACTATTGATATATAAATTATATAATTCAGTTTGCAAGACATATTTGTATATGTATTAAATACTCGATTCTGTCCCTGGTTATTAATTCCGAAAAAAGACTAATGTTAACAATGGCCTTGTGGCTGTATGTACAGTACGTGTTCACGTGATCTTCATTTCTGTGACATTTGCTGCAACCGTTATCACAAATACAATTTAATTTCAAATCGTCCGCTAGCGTGTAACAGTACCAATAGATTTTTCCATAGAGGAAACAATTCCTTACGTATTGCTTACCCCTGTGGTTTCCCTTAGCATGACAATTATTCTCTCCTTTTTCCGACCCCTTTCCCCATACGTGGCCCCGAAGAGGGTCTTTTAATTAGTCATACCCATCATGAGTGCGGCTAAGCTCACGAGATAGCACCAGTGACTGAATGAGTAAAACCACTGAACCAAGTGAAGTTTTCCGGGGTTTTCCTCAAATCTAATACTTACATAAGGATCAGTTTTTTATAGAAAGTACTCTTGTGAGTTGCCTTTCCCATTTTACACTTATGAACTTCATATATTATTCACAAATGTGTGGAAAGTATAAAACAAACACGTTTAATATTAATTGTGTCAAGGAAATTTAGACTAGACAATGTTATAACATCCGAATTGATTCACTTTATAATTTTATTTTTTAAACATAATAGTAGATACAGTTTCCCATTCATACAAACATTCTAAATAGCATATACTTCTTCCTTTCTTAAGCTTTCTTATGCTTTATAATACGCTTCACTGGCTGAATTATATAGACTTACAATAGATTTTAAATAACTTACAAAAAGTAAAGAACACTGACTGTGTCTAGACCTATTTATTTTCAATATGCTTTGTAATCGTTTTTAATTATTCAACTCAAAAATTCCATAAAGAATATATTCGTGTTATACAGAATATGTAAATGTACAAGAGTAATTACGATGCAAATTAGTCCCTTTGAGGAAGTTTTATAATGAAAATATCTCTTATAACATAGTTTTTCACAGAAAGTTATTCTTGGATGAACCCCCCCTTGGCAGATCGCCCATGTGTTGCGTTGCCTTATACCAATCCATTTGTCCTCACAACTAGACTGCTCTATTGTAGGTCTAAAGTCTAGACCAGTGTTTCTCAACGGCGATATCGCCCCATGTAGGCGTTTTTCCATGTTGATGGGGCGATTAGTAACAATTTATATTTTGGGGGGGCGAAAAACAATTTTCTGGGCGATATAGCAAAACATTATAAGAATAATTAGATATTTTATTCGTTATATCGTACAATACAAATAACATTATACTAGTCATTAGTCTATTCGATGCAGTACGAATTTGGCGTTAGCCTCGGCCCTCGGCATTGGAATTTTGAAGCGAAGGGGGCGATACTACGTAACGGTTTTATTGAAGGGGCGATACTACGTAACGGTTTTATTGAAGGGGCGATACTACGTAACGGTTTTATTGAAGGGGGCGATACTACGTAACGGTTTTATTGAAGGGGGCGATACTACGTTTCGTTAGAGGTTGAGAAACACTGGTCTAGACGAATCCATATTGTGCTTGATTAAGAAGACCCTCTTTACTTATTGTAGCACCTGCTAATTATCAATTACTGTAATTTTTTATTGCAGCCGCTGGAACATTGGATACCCCTTCCTCCCCAATGAATGGTTTAAAAGTCTGATTTGACACGTCCTTTAACGTAAACTTACGTTAAAGGACTATAATTTAGTTGTAGTATATTCATGTTTAAGTTGACATTCAAGCATACAATAGCTACCGTAGGACCCAATATAATATGAAATATGGACACAATATATGGCAGTCCACAGCAAAAGACTACAGCTTAATCGTAGTATTCTTCAATATATGATATAGAGAGTAAACCAAGGGCGTATCCAGGGAGGGGCAGCTGCTCCTCCCTAGAAGAAAAATTAAAGTGTAGTAATTGACACACAGCACAAACGTATCAGTTTGAATAATGAATATTGTGACTAGACTATAGCCATCTGTCGTGAAATCGCTCTCTCCCTCCCCACTTCCTCGAAACTAATATGAGTTGCCCCCCTTTAGTTCAGATCCTGGTACTCCGCTGGAACAAACCGTAACTGTCGGTAATACATGCGTTTGCTTATTTCACNAATGAATATTGTGACTAGACTATAGCCATCTGTCGTGAAATCGCTCTCTCCCTCCCCACTTCCTCGAAACTAATATGAGTTGCCCCCCTTTAGTTCAGATCCTGGTACTCCGCTGGAACAAACCGTAACTGTCGGTAATACATGCGTTTGCTTATTTCACACACAAAAATTAAAAGAAAAGTCCCAAAAACATAGGTAAAATGGCAGCCTACCGCTCTGAAGGAACGGGTCGAAAACTCCTTAGGTTTTTTTCGGGGGGTAAGCCGGTTAGGTATGTCGGGCCCTGTCCCTCACCACCCGGCCGCCCCATTTATGGGCCAGCTGCATAATGGGCTTGTTAAAGAGCCCACAAGGCGTAAAGAGTTTTAAAAAAGTTAAAAATATTAATAAATATAAATAATGAAAGGTTTATATATAATACAAAAAATTAATAAAATTTACTATAAAATAAATGTAATTAATATTTAAAAATAATTATATTATTCATGCGAATAATAAAACAAAACTCTGACCCAAATAAGAGTTTCGGGAGTTGGCAACACTTAAGCTTAACATATGTACCTGGAAAACAATTGCATCCGTATTGCTTCTCGCAATAACATTACAGAAATAATATCGAATTTGGCCGTTTTCTATGCGAGACAGGAGAGAAATTGGATGGAAATTAGACATTGGAAACGATATGAAATCTAAACAAGACGGTAAAATGGTAAGTGTTTATTTTATTCGCTGGTAAACAAACAAGTGATTACGTGAGATGGGCGATTGCAACACTGTATACACATGCATTGTGTAAGATACAAGGGGAAGTGTATGTGTTTTCCGTCTTCGCCATTTTTTTATGATTAGTTTCAAATTGTAAATATATATATATATATATTATCCTGTGTAAAAAGTAAATTAAGTCGTTTCAAAATTCAAACTTTACATTACAAAGAATAGATGCAAATTTATAGATACACTGGCGTGCAAAACTTAAGCAACTATGTCATTTTTAAGCAGATATCCAGAATTAAGCAGATATCCAGATATAAGCAGAAATTATAGAAGAGGGCTTGTTGCCATCAGTACAATGAACACCCAATTCGGTAGAAAGGTTATTCCTGTGCGGGAAGAAGACATTACGGGTGACGTGAGGGCACGCAAAATGCGTGCAATCGGCGCGCACGGTGCAAGATTATAATAACAAGGTTTTGATTCCGTACTGTATGCGTTCTATTCATTTTTGTGCTAGTACGCTTTCTTTGTTAAGTACAAAATACTGTCTCTGTATTCTGAATTTCATGTCTCTCGGTTGATTTCTTGCAAAGTTATGGCTAAAAAACTATCATGCTTAAGTTTTTTGTGCTAGTATATCTGAGACAACTATGAGAATCTAAAAGGTCAAGATTTCGCATGTATCTAAAAATATTTAGGCTTTTGTTTCATTGAAGCTTACTAATGCAAAATTATTTATTTGAACTGAAAAATAAATAAATTACATCAGTCATTCTTCTTCCACTTCTGAGTCTTTCCTTCTCTGTCAAAGCAACGAGGCAGGAAATGCAGTGATAACAGCACTGGAATGCCCGTCGGAAGAAACAGGAATATAGATGGCATATTTTTTATCATCAGGAAAATATAGCAATGCCAAAAGGGATGGATTGAAAAAGGCTTCCTCTGATAACATAAAAGCATGTTTTGCTTGAAGGTAACTTGATTCCAATCTACCATCCTTTAATGATGTCAGATTATCTTTTATAAAATCAACTGATGCATATAACCAGGACATTCATTAACCGGGGTTCCACTGTATATATAATTTCTATAAATAACAATGTATTTTATCATCATTATAATAAATTGATTATATTTAAACTAAAATTTTGAGTGTGGTCACTCTTGTTTTCAACCTCGTTTCCAACACCGTCTTTTATCACAATATTGCTGATGATCCCCAGAAGTTGTTCAAGAGAATAGAGAGAAGAGATGGCTACCGAAAGTTGTTCTTCAGTTCTTCTTCTTATTAAAAAATCAACTTCCCAATCTATACAAACAGAACTTTGAATAACTCTAATTTTATTATCCTTAACAGAATTAGGAAGCCCAGTAACAGTGATGGAAAGCCCAGAATATGAAAAAAGTGATGGAAGTACACAGCTACGATAGCTGTGTACTTCCATCACTTTTTTCATATCAATGTCAATCCTTCTAGGAAGAGTAGCGTTTTCTTTTAATGGAGGTGCATTATATGTTAAAAATTCTCCCCAACATGGTGATAAAAATGCATTTGTAGCTACCTGACATCCCTTTTCATCATATATTTGAAGAGGAGATTGAGCTTGAGATGGTATGTAAATGAAAAAGTTTAAAGATGGATTGAGATCTTAATTTTGCTTCAATTGGGTTAATGATAGATGGCAAATGATCAAATTCCAAAATATGTTCACCAGTCTGAGAATTAGTTTTCATCTGAATATTTAAAAATGTCATATAATGTAACTATTAACATTGACATTTCCTAGAATTGATAATTTATCAAGAAATGGTTTGACAATATGTCAAGCCATTTCTTGATAAATTATCAATTCTACAGCTTGAACAATATTCCAATGCACATCATGTATAAGATTATAGATTAAAAGTAAGATTAAAAGTAATGTCAAAAGTAGCTGTTGCAATTAATGATCTCATGCTTTCTTTGTCAGGCTGTTTCTGTTCTTTATTTTCAGTAGATAGGAAAACTGTTTTTAAAATCTCATCTTTTACTAGGATATTCTTCAACAGTTTAGAGATGTCAGCAGCCAATTTTTCTTCTGCATATTTATTGACACAAAAACTGGTGCAATGAACATCTACTAATGTTTAAAAAATTCCAAGATGTGATTTCTCAGATAAAATAAATATCTGTAAACTTCCAATACCAGGCTAAATTCTGAAATGGACTGGCATTCATTTAAAATATTTTCTTCTTCTTTTGCTATATCTCTCAGAGATATTTAACTTTTAATCGGTTTCCACTATCAGAATTAGCCTCTATTAAACTTTGTTTTAACCTTATTTGAGCTATTGATTTGTCAGCAATAATTAATGTTACTGGAACAGAATGGACAACCTGTAAAAATGGTAATTTTTCAATTTCGCTGTTAGATAAAGTGACTCTATATACTTCAGTTGTTGTCCACCAAAGAGGAACACCAATTATTACAAATACAAAAAAAAAATACCCATATTGCATATATGGATGAAGCATCTCTAATATTTTTATCATCATCATGAAGTCATTCTTTACTCATTATGAGTTCTCATTTATTTTATTTCCAAATAGAAATTATTTAATATTACATGTAGGAAAAAAACATTTCATATGTCACTTATACATCCAAAAAGCCCTTAGTACAGACAACTTCCTTCGTAAGACATATTTACCTCCTTTTTTCGATGTAAATAAGAAACCAGATGAGAGATTAATGTAAAGAACATATTTCTGCTTTGTGTTTTAAATTGTAGCATTTCAATAAGACAGTGATGAAATTATGGTGTAAACAATGTTGTTCTTGTATATGATTAAATTTACTAAGATAGAAAAAGAAGCTTACCTTGTAAATCTCTTATATTTGTAATTTTTAATTCAAAATGACAGTGGCTGATTGTTTTATCCAAATTTTTGTTATCCGAGGTCACATCGATTAGTGTTACCTCGGATAATTTGGATTCTACCATGTAATTATTTAATAAATTATCCGTATATACATTCACAGAAAACAATGTTTATTAGAATTCTTGAAGCCTATAATTAATTTCAGTCACACCTTTCTATTTAGTTATTATATTTGCCTTTGGCTCTTGCTTTTCTTTTCAGATAAAAATGTGAAAATATTAAAGATGATATAATTGGAATGATTTGGGTCAGATTTGATTTGATTTCTCTAGGAATTTTAACAAAGTACAATTAATAACTTATAAAATTTTCAAATGAAAATATGCAGTGTTAAAATTTTTTTATCTACTTTTGAATGTAAAATGTTTATCAAAACAATTTTTTTATTTAAGAAAATAAATTAAAAAAAACAGTTTAATATATTAAAATACTGTGTATATGAATGAGTTGGTACAATAAGGCATTAACCTTCACTTTCATCAAAATTCAGATTCATACATAAAGTTATGTAGAATAATTGTGTGTACTGTCTATCAATTCATGGCTGTGATATGAGCTTACATGACTTGGCATTAAATCTATATCCTTTTTCTAATCAATATTAACTGCCATTTGTTTTGAGCAATATGGTGCTAACCTACATCAAAATGGAAGGAGAAAGCAATCAAATTAACAATAGTTTTTCAAAAAATAAATTAGTTAGCTTAATCACATCCTGAAAAGTGTCATATTGTTATGGCAACTTTCATCAAGCACTTCCATTTTTCAAAATTAACTAAGGCTTGCTTTCTACGAAAGAAAACTGTGGAGTTACAACTGTGGAATACATAATTGTGTCATAGACATTGGGCAGTTGTTTTTGTGGAATGAAAGTAGTGCTAAATGTAGTTCTTTTGAAATTATAAGTTACTTGCTGAATTACTTTACACAAAACAATATGCAGTCTCGATGATAACTGCAAAGGGCAAAATGAAAAGTGGATTCTGATTTCCCTCTACTTTGCACTGATGCAATCAGGTAAATTTAAGCATATCTAACATCACTTTCCAGTTGTGGTGTATACACAACTGTGCGACAGTGATTTTGGTCGCATAGAGTTTTATTCTGGGAGATACTGCTCTTCTGTGTACACTATCAAAGACTGGTCAAATGTGATCCTAAATGCTAATAAAAACAAGAAATTCAAAGTAACAATGCTGTAGCAGTTTAACTTTAAAATCTTTAGTACACTGAGTAATACCCAAGAAAACTGTCTCAGATTCAAAACAACATCTGCAGTTTTTAAGTGCCTCTGTGTTTCTCATTGACTCAGCAATACCAGGCATTCCACAAGTTGGTTACTTATCACCATGAGTTATCATTGTNTTTATTACATTTAGGATTGGAAACACTTACCATTGCCGAGCTATCAGGTTAAACAAATTTTTACTTGTTATTTTAGTACTGTACTATTACTTATAAACTATAATATTTCACTATGAATAATGATTATCTTTATGTATATGTAAGTTTATTTTTTTATTTTAAGTATCACCAATAAACATTACACAATTACATAATTATATGCAGAATGTCCCATAAGATTGAATCCATTGGAATTACATTATCATTTGTATTAGAGAGATTGCGGCCAAAGTTCAAATTTTAAACTCTTGTACGGCATGCAGAAGTACACATTTGACATTTGAACTCCAAGCAAAACACATGCCACATGTTCATGTCTCACACTGATTCATGGGATATTGTTGAAAAATAGCGGAAATATTTAAGAGCGACGAAGGTCACCAGCAAAGATAAATAAACAAATTAAACTATTTCTAGAAGTTTACAAACCAATTATGCTGTTGATGGTAGAAGATACCGTGAGAGAACAAACCTACTTCTGTGGAGTTATAAGCTATTACGAAAACAAATATACAGTGGTACCTCAGGATACGAAATTAATCCGTTCCGAAACTGAGATCGTATCATGAAAATGTCGTAAGGTGAATCATTTTTCCCCATACGATTACATGTAAAACCAAATAATTTGTTCCAACACGAAAAACACACTCAAATTAAAGCTAAGTAGTACATTTTAAAAAAATAACTATAGTAAGGAAAACACTGAAAAATGCATTTTGTAATTGTAAATGTATAAATAACCATAATAGAATAATAATTGATTAAAAAAANGGGGGCGATAACGGGGGAAAAACGCTCCCATGTGGGCGTTTTTCCATGTTGAGGGGGCGATTAGTAACAATTTATATTTTATGGGGCGAAAAACAATTTTCTGGGTGATATAGTAAAACATTATATTAAGAATAATTAGATATTTTATTCATTACATCCTACAATAAATAAACAAATAACATTATATGTACTAGTCACTATTCTATTCGATGCAGTACGAACTTATCGTTAGTCTTGGCCCTCGGCATCGCAATTTTGCAGTGAAAAAGTGATACTACATAATGGTTTTATTGAAGGGGACGATACTATGTTGAAGGGGGTGACAATTTGTTAGAGGCTGTGAAACACTGTTCTATATTATCCAAGACAGACCTGTATACACTAGTTTTCTTATACAATTTTTCATAAAAGAACATTTATGACAATAACAGATATTAAAAAATTATTTGTTTGAATTATTTTTTAGCATTTAACTTCAAAACAAAATGAATCATTCATATTAAAGCGTAACTACGATAATACACACTTTTGTTCTAAAATCTTTTGTACATGATAGCTATACAATAAATGAAGTAAAAATTATTGTTCTTATACGTGATTAAATACACTGAGGTATAAAGAAAAGGTTTAAAAATGATAGCATGTAAATCTTTTCTCTTATATTTGTAATTTTTAATTCAAAATGACAGTGGCTGATTGTTTTATCCAAATTTTTGTTATCCGAGGTCACATCGATTAGTGTTACCTCGGATAATTTGGATTCTACCATGTAATTATTTAATAAATTATCCGTATATACATTCACAGAAAACAATGTTTATTAGAATTCTTGAAGCCTATAATTAATTTCAGTCACACCTTTCTATTTAGTTATTATATTTGCCTTTGGCTCTTGCTTTTCTTTTCAGATAAAAATGTGAAAATATTAAAGATGATATAATTGGAATGATTTGGGTCAGATTTGATTTGATTTCTCTAGGAATTTTAACAAAGTACAATTAATAATTTATAAAATTTTCAAATGAAAATATGCAGTGTTAAAATTTTTTTATCTACTTTTGAATGTAAAATGTTTATCAAAACAATTTTTTTATTTAAGAAAATAAATTAAAAAAAACAGTTTAATATATTAAAATACTGTGTATATGAATGAGTTGGTACAATAAGGCATTAACCTTCACTTTCATCAAAATTCAGATTCATACATAAAGTTATGTAGAATAATTGTGTGTACTGTCTATCAATTCATGGCTGTGATATGAGCTTACATGACTTGGCATTAAATCTATATCCTTTTTCTAATCAATATTAACTGCCATTTGTTTTGAGCAATATGGTGCTAACCTACATCAAAATGGAAGGAGAAAGCAATCAAATTAACAATAGTTTTTCAAAAAATAAATTAGTTAGCTTAATCACATCCTGAAAAGTGTCATATTGTTATGGCAACTTTCATCAAGCACTTCCATTTTTCAAAATTAACTAAGGCTTGCTTTCTACGAAAGAAAACTGTGGAGTTACAACTGTGGAATACATAATTGTGTCATAGACATTGGGCAGTTGTTTTTGTGGAATGAAAGTAGTGCTAAATGTAGTTCTTTTGAAATTATAAGTTACTTGCTGAATTACTTTACACAAAACAATATGCAGTCTCGATGATAACTGCAAAGGGCAAAATGAAAAGTGGATTCTGATTTCCCTCTACTTTGCACTGATGCAATCAGGTAAATTTAAGCATATCTAACATCACTTTCCAGTTGTGGTGTATACACAACTGTGCGACAGTGATTTTGGTCGCATAGAGTTTTATTCTGGGAGATACTGCTCTTCTGTGTACACTATCAAAGACTGGTCAAATGTGATCCTAAATGCTAATAAAAACAAGAAATTCAAAGTAACAATGCTGTAGCAGTTTAACTTTAAAATCTTTAGTACACTGAGTAATACCCAAGAAAACTGTCTCAGATTCAAAACAACATCTGCAGTTTTTAAGTGCCTCTGTGTTTCTCATTGACTCAGCAATACCAGGCATTCCACAAGTTGGTTACTTATCACCATGAGTTATCATTGTTCACATGGTGCACTCCCAAGAATTGGCTATCCTCATTCACAAATTTCAGTTTGTGATTTATAGCTTGAATATTCATCACAAGTCCTATAGATAATCGAAAATTTGCAGAAATAATGTCAATTCTAGAATGGATTCCATCAGCATATCATGAATATACAGAAATCTTATTACTCAAAGTACATGAAAGACATTGAAGAACATCTAGCTAAAAATGATGATAATGGTTAGTGCTTGGCAAAAATGAACTGCTATACTGCCATTTCATTGTGCTCTCTAATCATTCATTCTGTTAATATTGGCAAATCTAACTGTAAACACTGTCATAATGTTAAATTAGAATGTGTACTTAGGTAGAACAAACGTGTGCATCTATCATTCATTCATTTACCTTCCAAACCCAATGCCCAATCACTTGGTGCAATAAAGTGCTAACCAACAAACACATTACTGGTTATGAAAATATCTATATTTTGGTACTTTACATTGTAAAAATTTTCCAGAATGACCTAAAACTTCATAATGAAAGCAGTTTCAACATTTAACCCCAATATATAAATTAAACAGTTTTTTTAAAAACTTTCAAATATAATCATTTATTATACTAATAATAATGTTTAATAATAATTATAGTTATAGCTTAAATTACCTGAAAAAATGTTCATTACACAAATGCATACATTTTGTGGGCAATCACTATATCATTATTAATTCCTTTCATATTAATCCATTTATTTTGCCTTTCTTCATTGCTAAAAAAGGTATGAAGACTCACTTTATTTTTCATCATATTATGATTATAGTAATTCACTAAATAATGACTTTTCAGCATATTTTTAAAACAATGTAGCCACTGCTATATATTTGTATTTACAACATAGCTTTGTTTTCACCCATACATCTGGATACTTTAAGTCTCAACATCACCATTAAACCTATCCATAGGTCACCAATTGTTCCAATTCATCTATGAATATTTATTAAAATCTGTCCAACTGATACTATTTCTGTTGACATGTCAAACATGACTTGGAATAGCTCCAGTTGGGTTGACCACTCATTGTGTGAGATCATTCTTAGACATATGTTTATTTATATGTTACATCTTGACCTTCAGATTTTCTATGAATTTTGTTTGCAACCTCCTGTATAATATCTACAAATCAACATTTAGTACAGACAATTTATTTGTTTTGTGGGAAATTATATTAAATATTTGTAATTCTTATAAGCCTGTAAGTTTTCAAATCTCTAAATTTAATTACAAAGGGGAAAAAATTGTTATAATATTTAAATCTTGAACCATGCATGTGAAATTTTCTTAGTACATCATATATACAACCTTTCTGGTTTAAAGTTGTTATTCCATTCTTTCGATTTCATCTTTTTTTTATTTCAATTCTGAAACAATACAGTAGTTAAGTTCTCCTTGATCTTTCATCTCAAATGTTGACATTAGTAATTCTTTTAGCCAGGTTTCTTTCTAGATTAGTGAAGTTTGTGAATATTATCAGGCGATGAGGGATGGGGACATATCAGTTGGACCACCCCCAAAAAATTCCTGAGGTTTTTCACCCATCTGTTTTTTTATTCTGGATACGAAGGATGAAATCTGGATGGGTGAAAAACCTCAAGAAAATTGGTGGTAGCCTTTTAATTTTTATTAATTAGCCATCTGGCCATCATACTTATTTATTGCAGTTGGGTAGTTAATGTTATCAAAATTAGCAAGTCCCAAAACTTATAAATTAGAATACACTATAAAAACTTCACTTAAGTACAGTGGTACCTCAGGTTACGAACGCCCCAGCATACGAAATTTTCAGGATATGACGTGAAATTCGAACATATTTTTGCTCCACGATACGAACAAAAACTCACCATACGACGTTACATTAGTTCGCATTTTTCATTTGTTTTTCTTACTACAGTTATTTTTTTTAATGTATTACTTGGCTTTAATTTGAGTATGTTTTTCGCGTTGGAACGAATTATTTGGTTTTACATGTAATCGTATGGGAAAAGATGATCCACCTTACGACATTTTCATGATAC